GTGAAGTGGTATTATTCACCCTTAACTTAAAGTAATCACCCTTGTTATATAATTAATCTGGAGTTGTTTGTCACCAAGGCTGAGGCTTAGCAATGTGCAGAAGCATATGCTGACTTTAAACACATGAATAAATCCACTTAAGTCCTGTGGAGGTCAGAGCATGAGGTCAGCTGTTCCCACTCACAACAGGAATGTCTTAGCCTGGAGCTATGGCACAGTTAATTCTATAAGCACTTGTCTCAAACCTCAGCTCTCCAAACCAAAGCCTGCAATAAACTCAACTGAAAAATCCAGGCAGCTCTCACCATGCTCTGTGTAACACCCAGAGCTCCCAGACCTAAAAAAGGTGTTAAAACAAGAGCAAGATTCTTATTTTGCTTCCCCATCCACATTTGGTAGCATTTAATGCTTTCAACTTTGTTTTTTCCCTATGATGTTTTGCACATCATAGGAACACCAGAACTCTGCAAGAAATAGCAGAAAAGTTTTCACTTGAAAAACACCTAGAACCAGCAAGGAGATGCAGTACCAGGATGTAAAATTCTGTAAAATTCCATTGATCCCTAAAACTGGTGTAATTGCCAGCCAATTTCATCAAAAAAGCAGCATTGTAAATCCAGTCCTCTCAAGAGCAAGACCATACAAGGTCTGTATGGCCTGGAGCCCCAGCCTGTCTCCCAAAGAAAGAGCAGGGAAAAAGAAAATCTGTCAGAAAGCATAAGAATAAAACCCAGTATTTAAGCCTGCACAGTGTATGAGCTGTCCAGTAAGTCAAAGAAGTCTGGCAAAGGTATTTCACTTTCAAAATGAACTTTTTTCCACCCTGGCATTCCTTCTGCCTTGGATTCCCAAGTTTCATATATGGTTAGGAGTGAAATGACTCTAATATTCTACCTGGGGCAAGTAGGATATGAAATACCAATGACCTAGGGATAAAGTCTTCCCCTCCTCTTTAGAGTGACTTTGAAAGGGATCTCAATCACTTTAAGAAAGTTACTTAGCTTGTATTCCCATTAGAGGTATTAGGTAGTTTTATTGCTTTCATCTACAAAGAGCAGTGTAATTCTTGTACTATTTACTCAGTCAAAATTCACACTAAAGCTAAGACAAATCTTGGTGAGGATAGGGCTTGTCTCCTTTGAGGCAAATTTAAAGTTTAAATACCATAAAGCAAAACAAACTACAAACACAAATTAAGCAGTTGCAGGTATGGGCAGAAAAATTCTTTAGAAAATAAAACAAGCCTTCATCTCTTAGTCCTCATGAAATAAATACCATGCTTTCTTTGCTGTACAGAACACCCAGAAACACAAATGTGTGAGAAAAGGGACAGAAGGAATGAATATTTCACAGGTTGTTACCAATATACTGTCCTGATGCCATTAAATTGCAAGGCAGTAAACAAGAAGTTTTCAGTGTAATAATACCATGTAAAAATTTTATCTACTGTTCTAGTGGGTTGTTACTCAATTCTTTATAATTTTAATAACTAGACATTTGAACAGTGGATCAAATTACAAAACACAGAAGGTGATTCCCTCTGGCATCCTTCACAAAAACTGCAGTATGATGTTATTTGTGCCAGTAAACAAATCCAGTCTTTCTGACCCAAAACTGCAGTGTGGATCCTGCAAGTTGTGAGGATCATACCGACCCAAATACACAAAAAATGTACATCCTCAGATCTTAAATGACAACCTAAGGAGGGGATGGGATTCATTACTGTGGGTCTTTGGGGTTGTCACAACTGAACAGCACAATTTCTGTTTAGTGCCTTAGCTTGTTCTTACAGCAGGACATAAATTATTTGCAGAGTAAGAAGAGGTGAGGAACACAGCCGCCAGATACAGAGATCCAACATCAAACCAAACAATGTTTATTTTCCTGAGGAGTGAAGGCAAATAAAAAAACAAATTCCCTTTTTACACCAAACGCCTTGCTCTCCTCATCTGAAGAATTCCTTCTCAACACGTGAGCCCAAACCTTCACACAGTTTGCAGTGAAGAATGTTCTTCATTCCCACCATCAAGACAAGCATTCAAGTGATCATCAAGACCTTAAGATGAACCACTTTTTTCATGTGTATCCATTCTCTGAGGTAAGTTACAAGCAAATCCTAGTGCTGTATCCTGCAAGTTACTCAGTGTTGTTTCACCCTGTTCTATAGTACATGCTAAAGCTTCTGTAAATTAAAATCCCAGCTCAGTAATTTATAAAGATTTCAAATAATGTTATGTGCTGCCTCTACATTCCCAATTCCACAGCTCTTTGTTTTTTGTGTATGGATGTGCTACCCATGGAGCTCAATTTCATTCAGATTTCTTGAATTTGCAGTTTTATCCTTCAGCAACAAAGACTGAGCATTTAAAAATGGCAGGGACTTGGCCCCCACCCTGCCCCATAACACAGGGATTTCCTGGTAAAATCAAGAGAAAAAGTGTCTCTTGAGGGAACTTGGCATCAGGGGTTTTAATCATGGGCTCACATCATCAACCACTGTAGAACAAATGAAGAAACAAAATTTCTACTTTGTTTTCAATTAGAAATAAACAAAACTGTTCAGGTACATTCAGGCTGGACAAACCTGTATTACTGAACTGGGATTTCCAAGCACAATACAGCTCCAGAAGATTCATTTGTACCCAATTTTCAAAATACAGAACATTAAAATGCCTTCAAGTGTTTTCATAACAAGCAGCATGCTTAAACGTACAACTATTTGATAGTCTGGTCTACTGTACTACCACAGTGATCTTAGGAGGTTACACATAAACAGTATTTATAAATAGTTAAAATATATTGACAGTTCAGTTCTAATATTTTCTTGGTAAAAAAGAAACCAAACCTCTCTACTTTGATATTACCAGAGAACCTTGAGTCTGTCAAAATTTGAAATTTGAAATGTGTTTCTAGTCTTCATTAACTTTCTATTTTTGATGAATGCATTAAGTTGAAAGCACAAATATCTGCCAAAGTGTTGGATAGCTTAAAGGGAGGAAAGGGGCCAGGGGAAAAATCACTGTTGGCAAAGTAGGCACAAGGTCTATCATCCATTCACTTCAGTAATTTAGTTGGAATGAATGGATGTTTTTCTTGGCTGAAGAGAACAGGCTTAGTCCTTTGTCCTCAGCAGGAATGTAGATGATGGAAAAGTACAGGTAAAGCATGAAAAATGGTACCTGTGAAATACTGACATTTTACTCTTCTTCATAGCCAAAATGAGAACTGTGCCTTTACTCCCATCAGTTTTTCATTTTAGACTAAAGGAGGCAGCTGAAATATTTAGCAAGGAAAGAAGGTTAAAAAAATTCATCTGACCAACCAACCACTCAGCACATGACAACACTGGTAGATCTAGAACCTGAACTAGGGGAATTAATATTTTTTCAAAAGCTTTCTTCACAACTGTGTATTTTAAGATCTCAGTAAGTGTTTGGCAAGTGAGACAAGCTTTCCAATGAAAAGCACTGTAGGGTTGACTATGCTCTATTCACCATTTACTGCTCTAGCTTTTCATTTGATATGATGGTTTATGTATTTGTCTAACAAGCACTTGAGAGAAGGAATTAGAGCCCCTAAGATGAGTTTTTGCATCAGCAATACAGCTTCTCACACAGGGAAGAAAAGCTACGTGTTAGATTTTGCAAATATGGTGTTTGCAAGTAGCTTCAAGTAGATTTTTAAAATAAAAAACCAAATTCTATTTTTTTAAGCATAACTCCTTTTAAGCAGAACATGAAACAATATGCTAGTACTGGTATTTGCATAATTTATTGATTTATGGCTAATGGCAAAGGCATCTCTCCACCTACAGGGGCTGAGCAGTGATTAAAGCAGGCTACAGTTGTTACAGTAGGATATCTGAGTCAGCGTTTTCCTTCTGCTTCTGAACACTCACCCGCTTCCAAACTACAACACAAACTGGATCTGGGCCTCTTTTTCCCCCTCCTTTCAGTCTGACTAGAAAAATCAGTTGCTAATGTTGCAGGCTGCAGTGAGGGAGCGCAGTGGGGTCTTCTCTCTCTGTAGAGGTTCAGTGGCATGAACTGGGTGTGATGTTTCAGTTCTGAGTTTCCTATTGATGTCAATCAGGTGGTCACGTTGTGGTCCTTCCTGCAGGATGGGTCAGCCTGGAAGCCACAGTGGGTCACTGGTGCCAGCTCCCTGCTCCAGCAGGGCCATCCCAGAGCAGCGGGCACAGGGCTGTGTCCAGAGGGCTCTGCAATATCCCCAGGAGGAGACTCCAGCCCCTCTCTGCTCTCTGCTCAGGGCTGGGCACTGCCCAGGGCACAAGTTGTGCCTCCTGTACAGGGGGAATTGCTGGGCTCAGCCCCTGCCCGTGGCTCTGGTGCCATTGCTGGGCCTGGAGCAGAGCCTGGGCCTGCTCTGCCCCTCCTGCACCCAGGGACAGCCAGGGATGGACAGGGATGGACAGGGATGGACAGGGACACCCAGGGACAGCCAGGGATGGACAGGGACACCCAGGGACACCCAGGGACAGCCAGGGATGGACAGGGACAGCCTGAGACAGCCAGGGACAGCCAGGGATGGACAGGGACAGCCAGGGACAGCCAGGGATGGACAGGAACACCCAGGGCTGAGGCCCCTCTCAGCTGGGGCTTCTCTCCAGGCTGAGCAGCCCCAGCTCCCTCAGCCTTTCCTGGGCACGGAGATGCTCCAGGCCCTTCCTCAGCTCCAGGAGCTCCTGTCCCTGCTGTGCTGAGGAGCCAGGGCTGGACACAGCAGCCCAGAGGTGCCTCCAGGGCTGGGCACAGGGGCATTACCTGCTGGAAATTCTCTTCCCAGTGCACCCCAGGACATCAGGTGCCTTCTTGGTCACCACCTGCACCATTCCCCATCCTCCCTCCTCTTCAGCAAGAAACCACATGCTCCTCCAAAAGCTGTCAGGACACATTCGGCACTGCTCGTATTCAGAGGAGCGACTTCATCATCAGAAAGAAGAAGCGTTTTGGAAAAATAAACCAAAAAAAACCCCACTGTTAATAGTGAACATCCTTTTATGCAAGTCATCAGCCATATTTGTATTCTCTAGTACTGCTCTGTAAACAAGTGCTCAGCTGGTGAGCAGGGATCCCATCGGAGGGGGTTTGGGTTTATAGGTACGGCTCTCCCGAGGCACCGTTCAGTTTGCTCTTGCTCTTGTTCCTGGAAAGGAGCTTCTTGCTCAGAATTCGTGAGAGTGTCCCCCCCTTCTTGCGGCTCTCCTCTGACAGAGGCTGCTGCAGGAACACCAGGTCATTGTGGGACTGGCTCATTCCCGGGTCCTTCTGGTGATGCTGCCGGCGGAAAAACAGCTTCGCGCTTTTCTTCAAAATCCCACCTGTGGAAGGAAAAGGTGCAGGACACTTTAGACAGAACAGGCTGCTGTCCTCCTGAAACTCAGCTTTAACTGCAGCACGAGCTAGAAAAGCTGATCCTCTGATTTAAGTCTCTTTACACTTAGCTCCAAATGCTCTTCTGGAGGCCACGCTAGTGGTCATACACACATGCACAGCTGGGGGTTGTACCCAGGGCTCTCACGTGTCAAAGAGGCACATCCAATCTTCCCAACCAGTAAAGCAGAAAGGATTTTATAAAAAGAATGAAAGAGAGGAAATCATGTTACTATTTGTTGTTTCAGAGATCAAAGGAGGTGAAGATCAGCCTGTGAGGCACCACATGAAGCAAATTTTAATTTGAGGTGCGTGACAAGAATACCTGGCAGTAAACATGTGTGCAGTGGTTCTGTACATGCCAGGCAGCAGGTGTTCTATACAAATTCAGCTGCACCACCCAGAGTAGCACTCACAAAGCATTTGTTAGTCTAAAACCCTGTTAGGAATAGCAATGCACTTCAAGCAGATTAAAAATAATATTACATCTGCTTCCAGCAGGTTCAGAAGTCTGCCCAAATCCCTTCTGCGGTAAATTAAGTTGCTTTATTTTGCCGTGTTCCTTCCCTTGACCCCTTGTCAAACCCAGCATGCAGCCAAGGCAATTGCAGCTGTCATCTCACCAGGGACTCATGCTGCCAACAGCAGCTATCACTACTCTCTTTGCAAGTTTGGGCTGTTTTTGCAGCCATTCTGCCAAATTCCACCCTCCCTCTCCATGTGTGCCCGTGTGCCTGGTGTGCAGCTGGCAGGGACACTGCTCCAGGCTACCAGCAGCACTCAGCCTGCTTGGGACATCAGCTCTGTGTTAAAATAGCATCAGTTCTGTATGGAATTGGTAGGAGCCCGTTTGAACAGAGGAGGACCCAGGTGACAAGCCAGCACAGGAGCTTCTGGCAGTCAGACTTGGATGCAGGGACAGTCACATCTCTGGCAAAGCTTCCATCTCTCCTCCCTGCACCACTATCAGCTTTCCTGGTCCTTTCTCAGTTCAGCTATTAATTCCTGTCATAGTCCTGATTCTGCTTTTCCTCCCACTGCAAATAGACACAAAAAGCAACACACAGTGCAGCTCTTTCACAGGACACTGCCAGAGCTCGAATGAAATGTTTGTCCCCCAAGGACTTGACAAGGCCTCTGTGTCACATTGCACACAGTGACAGTTGCAGAACAGGTATTTCATGGCAGCCAGATGCTGCTTTGTACACACCAGAGCAGTCACAAACATGTACTTGGGTTTATTACTGTGTACTTTAAGGGCTAAGCACTCAGCACCTGGGAGGATATTCAAGCATGTTTTTTCTGGCAGCTGCTGAGGCTCTTCTCACAGGGCACAATGGGATGGGAAGCAGAAATCAGTTGAAAGCAACCAGAACTTGTGGATTTGAATCTTGACTGCTCTCCCATCAGCCTCTGATTGATCTTTTTGGCAAGGCACTACCACTTCAAGCTGTTGTCAGCAGCACAAAAGAAGCAGTGTTCCACCCCAGGACGCTGAGAGTTGTTGATGTGCAGAGGCTGGGGGGATGCTGTGCAGCTCCTGTTTGAGCAGGCAGCTGTTCTGCCCAGCAGCCCTGGCAGCTGCAGCCATGCCAGCAGCACTGGGACACAAGCTTTTAACCCTAAACAGATTTTTAGTCCCATCCACTCTGTCATTCAGACTGATTTTCTACACCAGCAACCAGCACCCAACTAAGAATGCTCCAAAAATTGTGCCTGGGACAACTCCCTGCAGCTGAAAAACCGTGGGCAGCGCTTCCCTGCGAGCAGCACAAGCAGCAGCCCCCCGAGATGAGAGCTCCCTGGTGTTCAGTCTCTGCTGCCTGGAAGCTTGCTGCATGCCCAGCAGTCTGCAGCCAGTCTGCAGCGTGCTGCCTGCCAGTGGCCCTGCCTGCTGTGGAGACATGCAGCCCCTGGGAGGAGGCAGGGCAGGGCAGGAGCCTGGCAGTGCTTGTGCTGCTTTATGTGCTGGCTCATGTGCTGTTTGCATGCTTATGCCTCCAGTTCAACAGGATCCATGTGGCAGCCCTGCCCCCAGCACCAGGAGATGAGCAGAGAGCACTGCATGAACTCACTGCACCAATGTGGGGTGTTCTGAAAGTGCTCGTGGGGGTGGGATCACTTCTGAATCTCACTGGTGCTAATGGAGGAAGATTTCCTTCTACATCTACGAGGATATGATAGAGATTGCTTTCCATTCCTTCCCAACTTCCAAAACAGTTTTCATTCAGGTGGGTTTTGTAAAAAGCTGCTGATTTTGTAAATACCTGCTGAGATTGCGGTAGCTCTGTAAGTTAGGCTAGAAAGGCTTTATCTAAAAATGTCTAAGCAGAAGGTGTTAAAATAAGTTTAGTTTGTCACACATGGGTCACACATGGTTTGCATGAGCAGATTTTGATTACCAGATACTACAGCAATGGGCATGATGGAGAGAGATTAGGAATGCAGAGCATCCCTCCAAGCCTTCCTTGCTGCCCTCTCTGTGTGACCCTCCTGGACAGCACAACCATCAGAAGGATGATTTGTCACAGCAGACTGGTCTGCTAAAACACCTGAGCAAAGGAAGGTAATTTTGGAAGGAGAAAAGGAATGGATGAGGGAAGAAGAAAATGGGTGCCAAACTAATTTTTGCTTCAGTTTTTACAATGAGTGTCTCATTGTAAAGCTACATTTTCTTAGTGATAAAAAAGAAAAGAGACCAAAATAACTTACTGTGTAGGTAATTAATTCTGGCTGGCATAGTAGTCATCTTAAGTTATAAAAGGAAATGGGTAAGAAAGAGGAAGTCAGAAAGGTTAAAACCCAAACAAACAAAAATATGCAAGAGTAAAAAAAAAAACCAACCTCCTAACTTTAAGACATTAACACACACAAAAGGCTTTTCAGAGCAGAAGAGGTTTTGTTTGGGTTTTTTACTGCATTTGGGTTTTTTTGTTGTTGCATTTGCAGTTTTATTTGTGGTGGGGTTTTTCTGTTGTTTGTTTTTTTTTTTTAAGGGAAAGCATTTGACAAACAGAAGCCTTCAACTATTCACAGCTCACTGAAGGCAGGGGGGTTGAAACGTTTTCCCATCTTACTCCATAAAAGCTACTCAGCTGTGACAAAGCAGAGATTCAAGACTTCCACAAAGACATCTGTGTATAATGAAAGGGATGTGAGCCAGTTTTTTTCAAGTATTTTTTCAAGATGATACAACTCTGTCAGAGATATTTTGCAGTTTTTTTGCAGTCTTACACTGAATTGTGTGAAAAGGATCTCTAGAAGCCTCAATTCTTTGCACAGGGAAACCCAAAACTAGACAACAACCCACATACAAACATCCACTTGCTTGCCTTAGAATAACATGTTGAAGAAGAGTCCAGAGGTTTTGCAGTTTCTCACACAGCTTCCTAAACTTTTCCAGGCTCCAAAATGAGCCAAATCCCATGACAGCTAACCCACTCCCCTCACCCCAAACACAGCCAGGACTCAGCAGTGCCTGAGCATGTGTGTGACAGGGATTGTTGCTGTGCCCTGCTGATCTCTCATGTGCAGCTGTGGGAAAAGAGGACTCCGTGCTCTAAGGGAGGGTCCTGACAAAGAGCTCCAGTGTCTGCCCTGTGGGTGAGGGGGGGGATAACCCAGTCAGATAGGGAGGTTTTGTAGTGAGCCATTCCCCAGGATCTCTGGGCGAGGAAAGGATGGAAAATAAGAAAGCAGAGAGGGATGGATATGAGTGAAAAGCACAGTCCACTGCACTGGCGTTTTTCTAAGACTTCCTAATAACTCCTGTGTTTACCACAAACCAGTGCTCAGAGGTTACTGGATTTACCAAGGAAACACAAGGAACTCTTAAGACATTTTCAAACTGAAGCTATTCAGGTGTGTAACTACCTAAGCACAATGATGATGCCTTATTTACCTATTTAATTAACTTTTATTCCATTTTCTTCAGCAAATTATGCATTAATAAAATGAGTGGAATGGGGGAAATCTGTTCACCAGGCAGTCTCTGCTTCAGCTGTGGTGCTTCCCTGAACACTTTAGTGAAGGCAGGGGAGCCTTGTGCTCAGACATGTGAAGGAGGAAGAGGAATGTATTGAAAAGCAACTGTAGATCCCTGCCATCTTCACCTTGGTAATGGGGCTGCCAATATAGGGCAAGTCCTGGGTTACAAGGATGCAGTTTTCCTTGAGGAATTGATAATGTGACTAGTGATTTCTCTCTCCAGTAACTGAGTTGGGTGTAATGAGCTGTCAGCTTCTAAGGGTGAGCTGTTTCCTCAGGGAGGGGAGGGTAAGAAAGCCCAAGCTGGCTCAGAGAGCTGCAAGTAAAACAGCTTCAACCAACACCATAATCACAAAGAGCATGAAGGACAAAAAAATCAATAAGAAAGGATGAACTACTGCAGCCAATTACATAGAGAAAGCAGTTACTGAAGTGGAAGCGAGGATCATGTACCTTTAGATTTTTTCATGCTGCCAGTTTCTGAAACACTTAATGAACTCCCAGATATTTCTTCAGAGGTCTGGTCTAAGAGTGTGCTGGTGTCCCACTGCTGGCTGCCATTCTCCAAACCCCAGGCCTTGTGGGTGCTTTGCTGAGGGTCGGTACCAGGGGCTCGTTCTGAAGCACCCAGTGACTGCTTTTCATCAGAGGTGATCTTTGCAACAGCTTCTTCCACAGAGGGTGGATCTGCTTCCCTGCAGGAGCTGTCCATGGCTGCAGCATAGTCCATCATCAGTGAAGCTTCACTGTCCTGAGATAAAGAGGTCTGCCCAGTGGAAATAAGAGACAACACTGACACAAGTCATCCTGCTGGAGAAAAACAAACCTCCCTGCAAGTTATTTGAACTCTTTACACTTGTATTGCTCAGGATGGGCAGCAAGCCACCTGAAGCTTCCTTAGCTCTACTAAAAGAGAGGAGCATTTAGCAAAGTTTTAATCATGTTGCAAAGGCCAAATGGGTGAAAAAATCAATTAAGCAAATGCCTTCCACCTATCCCTGGCCCCATGACAAATAACAGGACTCCCCTGTACGTGCTGCTGTAATGGAGTGTCAGCATACACAGAGAAGCTTTTGGTCCTTTTAAGAAAATTAACATGAAAGCATTTCATCCTGTCTCACTGTCTGCCCTCCCTCTGGAACAGAGACCAGAGAACCACAAGTTTTTCAGAGGGCTTTAACAGCTTTGAGAAAAAGCAGAAAAATCTTTCATACCTTTTCAGTGCATCTTCCCTACGTGGGTGAAAGAGAAGGATTATCCTCTCTTCTTTCCTAAATTGATTTTTCCAAATCCCTAACACCACTCCTATCCAAGGACACTGTGCATCTTAGTCAGGCTGTCAAATCTAACAATCACAACCAAACACCCTGATTTGGATTAAACAGTCACAGAAACCACCTGGCACACCAAACTGGATTCTGCAGGGGCAGCAGAAGCCATGTTAACGTTGCAGAAAAGGCTTTACAGAACTAAGCATTAACTCTGAGTGCTGTTTTCTGCTCTACCTTGGACACCCCTGATATGATAATGGTGCTTTTCTTCCGAGGAGACTTCAGCTTCTGCTTTGCAGACTCGCTCAGCTGCCGAATGGCCGCTTCTGCCACAGGGTCGGTGCCGTTCAGTACCAGCAGCTCTGAAAAGAAAGGATCATTTCAGAGGGGAAAAACAGGAAAAAACAGAGCAGAGTTTGTACAGAAATAGCATAAAGACTGTGAACTTTCCAATTCATCACCCAGCAATCAGGTCCTGTCTTTCCCTCCTGTCAACCATTTTTGGAGAAAAGGTACCAAAACTGGCACTTACAAACCCTTTCCATGAGAAGCAGGGACAAAACATGCCATTGTTTCAGTGCTTTGCTACCCTGTGGTGACAGTGGGGACATCATGAGTTATCACAGTCATGAAGAACCATAGTTCTAACAAGGCTGGCTACATGATGCTACTTCCTCAGGTACCTTTTTTTGTTAATTTGCTCCTTTTCCAGACCTCCCTGCTCAGCATTTCCAGTTTTGCTATGGCACTGTGATAGGATGGGGAAGGCAAAGTAGCTGCCTCCACATCCTGTAAAGTCCACCCCTTGTCCCCTCCAACCACTGCACAGGAATATAAAATCTTCTGTACAAAATGCTCTTTAGTGACAAAAACAAGTTTATTTTTAAGCATGGCCCTTTCTGGCATCTAGGACAAAAATACACATTGATCAAATTCATCAAGCTCAGGAACAAATAAGGCAAGAAGACAAAAATCCCCATGTTTAATTGCCTGAGGTAGACTTTTCTGGCAAGAGTTTTAACAACAACAACAACAAAAAGCACAGAGGCAGGAACAGCACCAGTGTTAACTAAATTGAGCAGTGCCTTTTGTTACTGTGACAGTAATGCAATAAAAGGTGAGGCCTAGAACTAAGAATATGTGTGCATGTCTGCACAGTCATCTCAAACCTTGATTTTTATCATCTCCCCCATCCCCTGCATTAATTCTTATTGCTGTCATGACTCAGAACTATGGCACAGACACAGCATCTTTTCCAGAGTGCTTGCTGTTATTTTGCCATGATATTTGTAACAACTTTTACCTAAGTTACTACCACACCAAAAGCTTCTTTGTATTTCTTTCACTTGGCTTTAGTTCTAATGAGTAATTCTTCCTGTATAAACACTTCACAGAAATCCCCCTGCACTCCCAAAAAAACCATGACCATAACAATACGGAATAAGCTGTCTCCAGGTGAATTTTCCAGTGTTTTGTGTCTTTAATAACATAAACACTTAGAGTCAGCTCAGAAGTCCTGCACTATCTTAATATTTCCCAAATTGATGTAGCACACTGCTTCATGGTATCAGAGAATTTCTTATCCTAGAGGTAGGAAAAGATCCAAGTGCTGTTACAGCTATTCATGGTTACTGCTTCTTGCCCTTCCCAGTATTTGCTGGCCAATAGGTTTGTGTCTCTCAGAAACCCCCTGACTGTGCCAGGAGCAGCCCAGATCATGTCCAGATTGTCCATTCCCCACTCAGACCTGCACAAAGCCAAGTGAACTCCACACCAGGTGCCACTGGCAGCTACAAGGGGTCACATCTGTCACTGCTCTTGCCCACAGAGCCACTGAAAAGTGACCACACAAAGGACTGAAAAATGAGCTGAGGATTTACAGCTGCAACTTGAAAAGGTAAATTCCCCAGGGACAGCATCAGGTTTATAGACAATTCAAAGGGAATTTGTAATTATTGTCAAAGTCACCTGACACTCGGAAGGAGCTTAAGCTGTATCCAGGTGACTCAGGAAGGTGGACAAATGGGCAGAGAAAGACCAAAAAAGCCCAGTGGCAGGGCTAGGAAGAGAACTGAGCCTTCCTTACATCAGTCCAGCCTCTGCCTTCTCTTCAGACACAGGGGACTTAGAGGTTCATGTCACAGGGTTTTAATTTAGTGCAGCATCTCCTATGCTTTATGAAAGGAGACAACTTTCATTCAAAAGTAAGAGGAAATACTTACTTTTTATTTTTCTGCAGTCTCCTCCCCTCTCCAAACCACAGCTCATTGTTATTTACTCAAAACCAGCAATTTAAATTGCCAATTAAAACCAGACTTCCACTGCAAGGCTGCCATACCCCAAACCACAGTGCTTTGTAACATAAACACCCCAGTGCTGCTGACAGGCAGCAGCCACAGGGTTGGCTGTCATTTTCACAGGATCACATTAACCCCACATCTGTGCAGAACAGGGACATGTTCTCCTTGGCAGCTCCCAACATTGTTATTACCTGTATCTGAAGATGACAAAGTTTTGCTGACTGGAGCACCATGAGAATGGAGGGCTTCAACAGTGAAATCCTTTTCGGTCACCTTTACTTTAACTGGAGTTTTCACAGGAGAATCTGAGGATCAAGTTTTTTGGTTATTTGAACTGCTCAAGACATTTTTTATTTATTATACTATTTATTATACATATATCTGTATGTATGTACAGATCTATTATCAATATATAGAGATATCTATAATTATCTATTATCTATATATATAGAATATATATCTATAAATATATAGAACATACATAGATAGAATATACATATAAAATATAATATCTATATCTATAGATATTTATATAGATATAGATATATATTTCTATCTATATATATAATTTATAGAATTCTATAGATATAGAATTTGTTATACCAGTTATGCTTGTTCAAATCATAAGTGTTTGAGAAAATTGTTAAACAGAAATTCTCAACACATGTTCTGTGGTAAACCTGACCCCAAAAGGCCAGTAAAGTGTGACAATTTTTTTAAACATTCTTAAATGTTTAAAACATTAAAGAATGTTTTCAAACATTCTGCTGTAGTACATTAGACAACACCCACTTAAATATAAGATTTGCTTTAAGAGTTTAAAAGAACACAGGTCTTCGTGATGCTTCACACCAAGACTGTTCACAGGTTTTACTTTTTATAACTTTCCCAAGAAAAACTGGAAAACCTGTTCCTGGAGCACATGCTGAAAAAAAAAAGGTGTTTTGTCACCAGGTGACACCAACCTGCATCAGAGATGATAATACAGAGCAGGGTTAGAAGGCACAGGATGGTTTGTTATCAACAAACCTCTGATATATTTGTCATGTGAAAAACCACGCACCAAAACCCAGCCTTTCTAGGTTATCACACCACGGTGAAGATTTACAGCGTGGGTTAAAAGAAACATTAATTGTTCCTCTTGTAAGGAAATTAAAAACCTGACTCTGGAGAATACAAACAACAACCCCACTCCAACACCTCAGGAGCTCTGGAAAACGGCACTTTCCTGACATCCTGCTCCCCAGTGCCTCTCCTGCTGCCCGAGGAGGGGACACAGGAAGATCTGGACGTGCTGACCTGTGCTCAGTGGGGATGATCTCCCTTCCAGACGAGGTTTGGTTCTCACAGCAGTGACAGTGGTGACCACAGTCCCACAGGGCATCACAGTGCGATCCTTTTCGATCTTGGTGGCCAGCACTGGAGAGGAGACCTGCCTTGCCTTCAGCTCACTGGGTTCTATGAAAGAGAACTAAGGAGACAGAAAAACACCACCTCAGAAGCACAGTCAGGCAAGAAGGACACTCCTTCTAGCTGGTACTCCTCCAAGACTTTTGCTGAGCCAAACTCCAGAGTTAATTCTTTCAATAAGACACAAATACCTTGTAATCAGAACTCTGACTCAGCCACAAGTCCAAGCACGAGATGAGCATTCCCAAGCACTTCCTGAAGCACAAGATCCACCCCAAAGCCCCCAAGCCCAGCAGTACCTCTGCACTGATGGATCCCAGCCCAGGCCCTGGCTCTGAGCTGCTCTCCCTGGGCTCGCTGATCAGGGCAAAGCTGTGCTGGCCACAGGGCTGTTTCCTGAACAGGTCTAGAGGTACAGTCACACTCCCGGATAAAGGACCTGGAAGAATCAAATCAGCAAGGTCAGCCCAGATCTAGGCTGCCAGGATGTGGAAGGGAGAGAATATGGGAAGGAAGGAGAAAAATTCAGTCAAAAATTTGCAGTATCTGGTTGTACACCACAGGGCAGAGAAGTGGCATTTCACAGCTTTTTTTTCCATTTTATTACTGTTCCTCAGCCTGGCCTAATACTGTGCAACAGGAAAGAATGGAATCATGAAATATTATGTATTTATTGTTGTTTCTGGCCATTATTTTTCCCTTTATATGCAGAATGTCTAGGGGAAAAAAAAGGAAACAACTATTAGGTTCTTGGACAATCTCCATAACCAGTTTCTGCATCTTTCATTTCAGAGGACAATTTGTATTCCTGCTTAACTGATGCATCACAACAAGAGTGTTTCTTAATTTGAACTTCAGTAAAACTTAGCAATTCTCTTGTTCCTCCCGACTTTAGCAGCTCCACTAGACCAGAACAAATTATTAGTAAAGGTACTGCATGATTTCAGAGACAAAATCCTGGTTTTCTGTGCAAAGCAGAATGTTTGAAAACAATAAATTCCTACACTTCACTGGCCTTTTGGGGTCAGGTTATCACAGAACATGTGCTGAGAACTTGTATTAAACAATTTTCTCAAACACAATTTAGACAGGCCTAACAGGTATATTAAACTCTTGCCTGTAAAGTAGGAATCTATGTTATATTCAAATAACTCAGCTCTCTGCTCATTAATATGATTCTGCTTTGAGTCCTCTATTAAAGTTTTTTGGAGAAGAACAGCTCAGCAGGCATGGAGGGGCAGAGAGGGAAGAAGAGAACTGTCAGTGAAATCCACTGGGACCTTTTTCTTCAGGAAACCAGGCTGGAAATTAGGATGTAGAACATTCCTGGTGTTGCTTGAAAGACTAAAGATGCTTAGTTACAGTCAATTTTTTGTCCAAGCAAAGCATAAGTTTGCTGGCTCCATATAAATATTTTTTTAAAAAATAAAAAATAGCATCCATATCAGAAAATTTTTTTAAAGCTTTTGACTTTTCAATCCCTCCCATGATTACATATAAGGTATTGCACAACTTTGTATATCTAGACTATTAAAAATAATTCTGAAACAACAGAATCAAGTTGTAAAAATGTTTGAACCCCCATGTTTTATATTTAATTTAAATATATTTATATTTAATCCAACATAATCAGAATTGGGTGCTTTACACCTAATTGTGATTTTCATACCTGAATTGTTAGGCAGTCTCTGGGACTTGAAAAGGAAGGATTTACAATTAACCCCCATGATTCCCCTTCAGCCACAGTAAGAACTCAAAAGCTTAACTTGAAACCAAAAAGGTTCACAGTGGATCTGTTAGATGTTTAGAAGATGGAAAAATACAGGATATCAGCACCTGGAAGACTCAGTATGTTGACAGTCTAGGAAGAAACTCCAAGATTCTCTGTAACTTTAACCCAGACCACGAGAGGCACCTGGTCAGTGTATTCTCCTTCCACCCATTATTATTGATGATACAGTTTCTGTGGCCATCTAGAAATAAAAGGGGACTTCTGGCAACACTCAGCAAAGCTCACACACCAATCATGCAAAATAACTCAGTCTTAATACTTACTATCCAATTTTCCATCTTCTACTATTTGCAGTTGCAATGCTTTGGATTTGGCACTTAGTTCACTGTGAAGGAAAGAAAACCACGTTAGGTCTTTGCAGGCTGAGCAGATTTTCCTTCCCACATAGGTTTTCCCCTTTCTCCAGCTTTTCTCAGCCCTCTCTCTCCAAGCCAAACACTGCATCTTGCAGGTGGGGTAAGAGTGACTTAAAGGGCTCACAGTCAGAAAAACCATGGCCTGGGTCCCTCCCCCACTTTTGCACAGACTCAATTTGTTGAATTTCAGAGGCTTTTCTTTTCCCCAGGAACTGACAAATGCTGTCCTCCAAGCTGAAGATGGTTCCTAGTCTGACTGCTACACCACAGCACCAAAAAGCTTTGTTTCTCCTGGCAGGATCAAATTTGTAAGTCAAGATGCTGGAACAGGTTCAACCAACATCCCTGTCAAAGCAGAAAAGTGTCCTGCAAAAACAGGACAGATGCAAGAAAGCAAAAGTAGTTACAGCTTTAAATGAGAAGAGTCAGTATCACTTTCCCAAAACACAGCTCAAGGATGCTGCAAGCCAACAAGAACAAGTTTCTGTGACAAAACCCAGGTGAAGTACTCTCAGAATTACACATGTGGTACTTCCTAAGATGGACTAGACAACAGATACAAAACCTTTCCTCTGACTGAGACAGTGAAGCAAACTGGGTACCTACTGAGGAACCCCCCAGTAAAACTTGATTTTATAGCCTTCTCAGCAGGCATTCTGCCAAAAACCCCAAGGGCATGCAAACATGTATTTAATTTTTCTATGTCTCTGCTTCAGGATGGTGTGATCCTGGCTCCAGACACCCCACCTCCATTAGATGCTGTGGCACATCATCTGTGCAGCAGACTTTAAGTTTTTCTCTGCCATTCCCACCCTTCCTGCACCCCAAAACTTGGAAAGGAGCACCTTGATGGCATTACTGCTGCTTTGCCACGAAGCTAAAGCAGAGCCTGACATGGTGGTCAGTACAGTGGTGTTGAGAGTGGAGGATATTTTTGGCTCTGAAGAAAGAAAAGTGCAGAGGTTTGTGTGTGGGAACTTGAAAGAAGTTCAAAAACCCCTGCCAAAATCCTAATCATTTATCTCTAAAAGCCCCCAAGCTTACCTCATGCACTTGTGAAAAGCAGTGTGGAAACCCCAGCATTATTCCTAGTTCAAGGCCAAATTCCAGTCAAGTTAATCATGTCCTGCCTGCCCTCTCTCAGCCCTTTCAGCTGGAAAAGGGTGTTATTCTTACAAACTTCCTGTCCCAAGCTGCTGGGAACTTGTCTGCTCTGCAACACTGAGCACGGGAGCTGTTCCACCAACAGATGGCTGAAGTGAATCACAGACCCAAGTGCTGAAGCACTTTCTAATACTTCAGAAAACAAAGTTTATCAGTGACTCTCCCCTTTCCTAAACTCATGCACCTCAGAAGCCATTTTTGCTCTGCTGTTAGAAAATGAAAATAAAAAGAGTTTTAGAATTTCTCACTTTTAACCTTATTTACAGCAGTTGGGTGAATCAGAATACTGTGTAGGCTGCCTGAAAGTCCCTCTTTTTGTTCTACAGGAGAAAGAAAAGTCTACTAAAGTTTTACACTGTCTTTTTAGTCATGGCCACCATTCTTTTAGATGGTCAATTGTTTTTGCACATTTGCTTTTCCCACTCAGGGGAGGGAATGGAGAGACATTAGATTCCCTTAAATACAGTTTTCACAGTAAAATGACTTCAAAACCTTGCTAACACTTCTTTTCTGGCATTGTAGGAAAGCATGAGGTGATTTATTATGCCTATCACTGCTGTCACCTACTAGAATCACATAACTACCATGGAACACCTCGAGACCTGTATTTCATATCCTTGCAGAGGATAATTAGGTATCCTGCCATCCCTACCAGCTCCAGATTTCTCTGAGGCCACACAGAGAAAAGCCAAGAATGGAATTATTTCAAAATGCCATTCTTCTCTCACACAGTTCAAGAAAAAAAAGAAAAAAAAGGTGCTTTAGTGTTAAAGTATTCTCAGTAGGTAAGTTACTTACAAGATAAACTCTTCCTTCCAAAAGGGATGTGCAGCATTTTTGGCTACAGAGCTGGAAAACTTCTGCATAGGGTCATTCAACTGAACTATACACACAAGGTCTGTGCTGCCTGTAAGGGCAAGAAAAATCAGCAGCCAGTTATTAATGCTCTGTCACCAAGAGGCCACTTACTGAAAAGAAACCCCTTTCCTTGCACACTGCACTTGTGAGCTGACTTTTGCAGACACTTCCTCACCCTCCCACAGAATAAATGCCTTCCCTTGGTTTGTGCATTCATGGCAAAGGTCACTATTGCATCACTGCTGTCGTATGAACTACCCTACACAGTGTGAAACATGACAGCCCAATTTAAACCTTGCCATGAAGCAACAAAGTGCAGGCATTAAACACTCCAAAATGATAGGGAGATTAAAAAAGAAAAAAAAAAAAAAACAAAGTGAGAAGGTGATGTTGTGGGTGTGAAGCAGGAGGGACTAAAGTTCCTTTCATCTGCCTAAAAAAACCCGAAGTTTTCTAAGTTCCTCCTGGCCACAGTCACAGTGGTTTATTTGGACATGAAAATAACTTTTTCTGCTGGCAAGTGACTGATGACAGCAGTGCTAATTCACAATGGCTTGTGCACTGTGGTTTCTAACAAGTTTTAAAGCTCGGCTGCAGACTTATCTCTGCCTTGATCTCGGAATTTGATAGTGTTGCAAATTGGCATATTAAGAGTAGTTACACTGCTGCTCCATGGGGAAATCGTTTGCCAGATGTGTTCCTCTTAAAACAGTTTCTTTAATATGGCTTTCACAGCACCAGAAATAATTTAAACCCAGACTTCCAACACATCAAGGAAAGCAACAAAAAGCTCAGTACTGACTGTGTGCAAAGCAAACAAAGGATGTTTCCCCCAGTTCTCCAGAAGAATCTGGGTTTGTATTTGCTACGAGCAGCTCTCAGTTGTTCTCTGGGGATGCTCTGGGGCCCTGGATCAGCCTGGGCCTGGCAAGGTGATTAGAGAAGGCAAGCACTGTGTACACACAGCTTATTTGGGATCCAAGCTGAGCCCAGAGTAAGTAGCTGAGCTGCTTTCAAGGGGCTGAGCCTGAGCTGACAGACCTGGGCTGGCTTCTGCTCACCCTGAGCCTGGTCCTGCTGCCACCTCCCCAGCCCAGGGCAGGGACCCTGCACAGCCTGGAGCCACACCTGAGCCACAAACCAACTGTACCCAACAGGGCATTGCAGCTTTTCTCTCCTGGACACCCTGCTCTCAACAATTAACTACTTTTTCCTTACCAGCAGAAATCATAATTCCCTGCAGAGCATGTGTACAAAATCTAGGGTGATCTTTGTTTACACACACAAACTAAGGAGATAAAAACAGGCACAGCCCATAAGCAGAGAGTAGTTCTGCTCCTGGATATTCACCAGTAAGATATCTACAGCTCCTATAAACCCTGTCAGCATCCATCAATCATCCACGGTTTCATCAGCACAGACAAGCTGCCCCTCCCCAGGCCCCTGTGTACCTGTGCAGGTTAGCCTGAAATACTGCACAGTCCCATGGAGCATGAGTTCCAACAGGATATTTCATTATTGCAAGGGAAGGCCAGGAAAAGGGAAGGGAATATTAATTAAAAGTCAGCAAGTTATGTCCAGAAGCCAGAACCTTTCCAGCTGTGCGGGATTCCCACGGGATTTCAAGTGTAACAGTTAAACCCCATTATGAAGCTTTATTTCTCATACTCAGTTCCAAATATTTACACTCCAGGAGCTGCTGGGGAAACAGCAAAATTCCCTCCATCTCCTGCTAGAATAGCAAATGGAGAATTTGCCTCCCAAACTCTGTGTTCCCAGAGCAGAGCACATGAATTGTCTCTTTTCCCTCTCATTTTCAGGGAAGGTGCAGTAATTCTCAGAAGGTGACTCTTCTGTTCTGTGCACTGTATGCACACAAAGGTATCTCATCTCATCAATTTTAAAGTGAGGCAAAATGACCCAATCTTTTAAGAAGTTTGGTTTGCACTACAAAATTGTAGAGCAATAACAAATCACAGAATGGTTTGAGTTGGAAGGGACCTTAAAGATAATTTCATTCCAAACCCCCTGCCATGGGCTGGGACACTTTCCACTAGACTGAGTTGTAGTTGCCAGCATAGTTTTATTGATAAAAGACATTTCACAGCCAAGAGTTCCAGAATGGATTTAAAAATTTTTTTTTGTTTTGTTTTTTGTTTTTTACAAAAAGCTTTGCAGAGATTTTTAGGGGGATCACTTCCAACCAGGATGAGCAAAGCAGCATTATGCAAGACTCTAGGGCAGAAACCTATTACCTCTAACTGAAAAAAGGAGAACAGCAAGTAGGATATATTTATCTAAAACTACTACTGCCTTGCCCAATTTAGCAGCCACAAGCTTCCATTAAAAACACCGTTATGGAATTGTTTAGTGGCCATAAATAACAGAGCCTCCAATCTGTATTTCTGCTGACAGAATCTGAGCTGTGCCTGCACTTGGAGGAGTCTGAGTACTTGCAAGACAGGCCTGGTGCTGCTTTCCAAACCCAACACTAACTACACTAGGCTGTGACCTCTTTTTTGGCTTCATTCTCCACTTGCAAGAGGCACCATGAAGTAACTTCATCAGGGGAAAATGACCTTGACAACAAAAAAAAAAGCCACCTTTCAGTAGTTTCTAATACAGGAGGACAGTTTGAGATACATCTGCAAATCTCTCAAAAGTAAAGAAAAAGAAGGGAATGTTGAATCAAGCCAATGTCATTGCCAGCAGTTAATGGAGAGCTGGATTTGAGCCCCTCATCTTGGGTACAGCCAAAGTGAGAACTTTTAGAAATTAAAACTAAAAGCCATAAAATAATCAGCCAGCTTTATACGTGTGGTCATTTCAATCTGTCTTCAGCAATGATGGATTTCTCTACAAGAAGAACAAGATGTTTAAATACTCAAATAAACTAAAAGATACATTAAATCAACAACTGGTACAGGGTGCCCAGAGCAGCTGTGGTTGCCCCATCCCTGGAAGTGTTCAGGGCCAGGCTGGATGGGGCTTGGAGCAGCCTGGGACAGTGGAAGGTGTCCCTGCCCATGGCAGGGGGTGGAATGGGATGAGCTTTAAGGTCCCTTCCAACCCAAACCATTCTGGGGTTCTCTGAAGCCTGTTTCTCAGAATACAGCAATTTCTTAAACCTTCTTTTGAGAGTAGGCTGTAACCCAGAACTCCCACGTTATCTCACCTGAAAGGAAAGTTAAAAACCCCAATGCCAGGGCTGCCTGACACAGAACAGCCGGGCTGCGTTACCTGCAGCACGGAGATCGCTCAGCTTCGCCGCGATGTTCCTCACCAGCAGCTTGAGCTCATGAGCCCTTGGAGGTTTGGGAGGACTCGTGCCCTGAGGGAGAAGGCTCGTGCTCTGTACATTCTGCAAAAGGCAAGCAGGACAAGGGGCACTGTGCAGGTGCCAGCACCAAGCCCTTGTGTCACACTGGCTCAGGGGAGCAGGGGTGAGCTGGGCTGTGACACCCACACTGCAGGTGTGACCACAGAGCCTCCACTGCCACGGGCTGTGCTGCTCCAAACGTGTGTCCCAGCTGGCTCTTGTCACTGAACACTGTTAAACTCACTTCTGAGTCATGAGTATATAATAAAAGCACTAAGCAGAAGGACACTTCTCAAAAGATTTTGGAAGGAATGAGGCTTACCTGAACCTCCTTCGTATCTGCAGGCCTCACACTCAACACGACAGATGGAGAAGCTGAGCTGAAGAGGTTCTTCAAGACATCTCTGAGCGTTTCAGATATTGCACATGTCCCTGCTGTCTGCTCCTATGAGGAAACAAACAATCAGGCTTCCCAAAACTCAGAAACTGAGGCAAAAATTGATTAGGTATATATCTAAACCACCAAAGCTTTGTTCAGAGAGAGACACACAGTGTCTGTTGCTAACAACAGAATTTAACAACAGATCATGCAAAGAATTATTTAAATTTCTCCGTTATGCATTAAAGGAAAGCTAGAATTAAACACTGAAAAACTCATGCTATTCTGAGAGTTAGGAAGGCACAGCTGTTATCAACAAAACCAGAAGTTTCTGTAACAGTTTTTTATCTTATAATGGTGTTTTAAAGATTCTGCACTGCTCTGTACTCCCCTGAGAGAGCAGATCAGGACATCAGATAAGCAGATCGGCACCGTTCTACCGATTTAATGGGAGTTATGCCAGTTTGCAACAGCTGAGAAGAAACTAATCCTGTGCTGCACTGAAAAAAAAATATTACAGCATCTCCTGGAGGTCTTCAACCTTGCTGAAAAGTGCAGTGTATGGACAGAGTCATGCTGCTTTGGGGCACTGAGCTGTAGTTTGCCCATAAGAAATGTCACGGCCATCTGTGCTCAGCACCACAGCCTCTGAGGGGTCAGAACACACCACAGATTCTGTGTGCACACATGTGGCTTCACATGGTTCATTCTAAGGTGTATGAAGAGAATGAACTGCCCCTGCCCTCCCTGTGCTCCTGGAGGATGCCTGCTTCTCACAGAATGCTCCTCAGGAATTCTTTTCTGCTCAGTTACCTACAGGGCACAGGTTTTTAAATCAAGCTGTCCCAGAAAGGGCAGATTGAAACGCAACAGCTCTGAAATCTCACTGAGGTTTCTTTTCTAGACGAAAGACTGAAGTAGGAGACAAAGATCTGACCTAAGAGCAGAGGACCCATCCATCTTTTCTCATCTGATACCACACTGAGGCTTCACTGATGTGCACTTTACACAACAGGTCAAACAGATCAGCAGTAACAGCCCTTTCCCAGCTACCCAGTGTTACAAAAACATTTAGGGTGCTTCACAAAAAATCCCAGGAATGCTGTGTGCAGAAATCCTGCTTTACTGCCTTCTTACCTAACTGGCCTTTGATGACATGCTCAAAACATACAACAGCATTGGACAGTCCCACGAAAATCTGCTGCATTTACACCATGTGCCCTCAAATAACCACCAAGGAAACAAATACTCATTTCCTTTAATAAAGATCACAGTAAATTAGGCTTTTTAAAGCCTCAATAACAGCAATTCCATTACTTAAGTTACTTAAATAAGCAGGTAAATTGTGGTTAGTCTTCATTGTTTTGGAGTTAATTTCCCTCCCCTGCTCTTACCTAAATTGTAAAATCCCAGTTGCCTCTCTTGCTTTGCCATCAGCCTGATGTGACATCTGTTATTTAACAGTAACAACAGCAACCTCAGTCACTTCTGTTCATTGCTATTTGCTGTTGTTTCCATAGTTATTTGGAAAGGAGATTGATTAAAGAGCCTCCTGCCAGCTCTGCCTCATTTTTAGCCACCCTTTTTTTGGAAAGTAACTCTCCACCGCAGCTCCCTCGACAAGACCAGCCATAATGGCTTAACTGCCTCCCCAAAATGATAAAGACAACAGGTTTCACTCTGGGCTTCACTCGGGCTAGGGGCGTACACCACAGCCAGCCTGGGGCACATCAGCACATGAAGTCACCTTGTGTAAATCCAAACCCAGCCAGGTTGCCCAACACAACTCAGGTTCACCCAGCCATTAGCAAGAGAAAATGGGTTATTATCCCCAGCTTGTGTGATGTCAAAACCACCCTGGAGATAATCACAAGTAATTAAAGGTATTTATTTGTACACACAGTATTGCTTCTGAAAGAGGGGGAAAAAACAAGACACAAAAGCTGACATTGAAGTTTAGGAGCTGAAGCAATTTCTAAGGTGTAGCTCACAGGTTTTAGCCCTCTGTTTATTGCCTCTCCTTTTCCATAAGTGCTAACACAAACTTCAAAGTGAAAATAAAGCCTGCTAACGAATAAAGACCTTGACAGGCTCATTCTAAAAATGCAGGCAAAGCAGAACAGGTGCAACTCTGCAAAGCTGGACTTGGGCACCTGTCAAAAAGCTGAGAAGTCCAGTTTTTTATCCAAATTGTGAAGTCCAGTGACTATACCAGAGTCATCTGTGTTTGTCAGGAAATATTTAATACTTAATGACTGTTCAAATGTGGATAATCAACATGCCACCCTGGCATATGAAGGTCATTTACATGCTACGTGTGCATAGTAAAACCTACATTAAAACACACTTCAAAAGCCTTGTCTGTCTTTAGTTATGAGTTTCACATTTTCATGGACAAAAGCTGTGATGACAAATTATTATAATTGTAGCTCTCTCAGTAGAGGTCTTTAGAAGCAGCTCTACAATAAACTTATTTTTTAATGAGGCCTTCAGTCAAGAAAACAACTTCACAAAACATAAACAAACCTTCCCCCACAGTTCTCAGTAATAGTTAAATCACCAATTTGTGCCAAAAATAAAAAAAAATTGTGAAGGGTCAAATGCAGAAAAGAATCCCAGTCCAGATTAAACACTTGCAGGGGATGTCCCAATGAATCAGTGCTCATATACAAAGATCAGGTGTAATTCCAAAAGCATCAAAATAATTTTAGATAATCCATCATCTCCTTAAATAACTGTATTTTCCCAGACACTTCTAATCTATTGTTGACAGATTTGAAAACTGATTTAAGTTAGGGAAGGAACAATGTTTTAATTGCTTTGATGGAAATACCATTACAACTGAGCTGTCTTTTATTATTTTAGAACTGTTCTGAGAGAAGATATTTAGGAACAGATTTTTCACACCTTGAATTTGGATGAAGGATGTTTGCAAAGTCATTTGTCTGTCAAATACAGACTTGTTTCAGTAATCTTGAGAGGTGTTGCTGGGTTTCAGAGATGTAGGGGTTTGATAGATGATCCATGGCAGATGCTTTCCACCACATTTTGGACCAAGGGGATGGAGACCCATCTGCTCTACCATTGCAACAAATAAAATTTACTGACTGACCTCCTGCACTGCTGGCTGGATTTCAAAGTTGATTTCATTGGTGTTAATGAGGAACCACTCAACTTTGACATCTTCTCCTTTGTCTTTTACATAGAGCTGAAGCTGTGGACAGGAAAAAGAGTTATTGTAGAGTGTTGTGGTATCCTGTAAGGAAATGGTAGGTCAATCTGCACTCTAAGGCTCAGCACAGGAAGAATGACACCAGTTTCTCAGTAGGTAACTTCAAAGTGACACTCTAAGGAGGCAGAAGTTGCTGAAGCTTTGAGAGTACATGCCAGTTAAAAAAGGGAATTGTTCTAGATAGCCAAGTAGTCTACCCAACATGTTATTTATCCACAGTCTCCTGAAGAGGCAGCTTAATTTCTGTATTTACCACTTGCCCCAGAGGGGAAACAAAAGGAAGGGAAGAGAGAACAACACTTAAGACTTTACCTGCAAGTGGACTGGGGACAGCTTCACAAAATATGACTGAGCTTCCGCAGCCGCAGGTGGAGAGGCTGAGACAGCAACCAGGAATTTAACAGAATCTCCCACAACGTTGCAAGAGACCACCTGGAGAAAGGAAAGGGACAAGGGGAAACAAAGGGAAAAACAAATTAGTCTTCAGAAGGTCTGGTGAAGGCAAGAAAGAAAATAAGAATTAATTAAAGCTAGCAGAATTATGCTAATTTGCGCAGGTGGGAAATTTCCAAGCAATTTCATTCATGTTCCCACCTCCTTCTGCACCTTCTAAAAGCACATAGTTCAAGTGTTCAAATCTGTACATGAAATTTAATACCTGCAGATTATGGCATTTCCATAAATAAAACTTTCTTTTGTATTGCTACCTAATTCAGTAGTAACTCCTTGCCTGACAAGGGCTCCTTTCCATTTCACAGATCTATGTATTAAAAGCTCCATGAGCACAAAGATGTTTGTTCTTCTTCTTCTTCTGCTCTGAGCTAAGTAGCCTCCAACAGGACAGCTGATTTACCACACAATCTTCAGGTTAGTGGCATCCTACAAATGGGAAACTCCGCTACAGCAGAGGATTCTGAGTAATTCCAGTTCTCAGTGGGATAAGAAGGAGCAGGAGCCTTTAAGAATTTATTCAAGCCTTTGACCAAACCAAGAAAGGCCCTGAAATGTGGTGACAAAGCTAAATGTCTGGGAAAAGTCTGAGTGCCACTTGACTGCAATACACTTTTACAAGCAGTAATTTAACTTGTTATCACACTGAGTTTGTAAGCAGCAGACACTTTTTGCTCCCTCCCCTCTGCAAACTGACTGAGCTGCCACACAAAATTCCTGGAGTGTGCAGAAATTCCTGGAGGGTTCCTGGCAGCACAGGAAAGCCCATGGGGTGGAAGTCTGAAATTATTCATCACCCCACAGAGGCATGTTTGTTTTGCAAACAGATGTGCTGGTGGAGGAGGGCTGCTTGTCACTGTCCCTCTGTGGTTTCTGGGCCCTCCTTACCCTGACTCAGGCAGAGGGAACCAGGTCAATGCAATGCACAGACAAATAATTCCCTGCAAGGTTTGTCTGACATAAACTCTGCATGGTGCTATTAAATTGTGTTTGTGCACTTACTGCTCCGCTTGTGGGCACTGGAATTGAAGCTGAAAGCTTTGAAAGGAATCATGTAACTCCTGAAAGATCCTTATCAGTCTCTCCTTAAATACATTTCATCTCTCTGGGCTCTCTGGGGTACATTTTAAGGATGGCCAGGGTTTTATCAAGGGCCTGAGTACATCAAGGTGGAGACCTAATTACAAAGGAGCAGGGAGTGGGGAGCTGGATATGACAAATAAAAATCCCAACCACACCCACAAGCAATAAGATTTGCCTTTTCAGGTTGTCTTTGCAAATTATAGTTTAGAAGTGGACAAATGAGTTTTCCTCACCTCTCCCCTTTCCCAAAGTCCAGATTCCTTCAGAAGTGATTTCTGACCTTAATCCCACACAAACAACACCAACACCAAGTATTATGGTAAAATATAAAGGATTTTTTATAGCTAACAAGAAGAAAGAGTCCAGCTGCTTCCAGCTTCTTATTTTACTTGTAGCTGGGATGAAACACAGAATCAATCCTTTCATTCAAAGTAATGGATTGACACAGATTCTTTAAAGACTTGGAAAAGGAAAAGGTTCTTCCCTCTTTTCTGAGAGAAGAGGAGGTAAAAGGACAGGAGTGATGCAACAACTGCCAACACTTCCATATCCTAAATGCAGTGTTTTATCATCCATACATATTTTTTCCACACATCCATAGGAAGTTCAGTGCATTCAGAACAAGTTAGACTTGCTGTACATGCAAGGCAGAGCCATTCATCTGGAATTTCTGGATGTCCAAGAGCCAAGGTTGCCAAGTATGTGGTTGATTAATGTTTTTAAAAGAAATAAAAGTGTGACCAGAGAGTTGGTAGATGAGTTCATGTGCCACTTGTTTCTTAATCATGTTTAATTCCAAGTAAAGGATGGAATCAGACACTGCAAGTGGCAGAACTTTCATTTTTCTTTCTGCATTTTGTCAAGAGATGCTAAATCAGTTTATATATATATATATATATATATATGTATATATATTTTGCCTTTCATTTCAAAGGCCAGTGGAGTTTGGACTTTTAGACTCCTTGATTAATTTATTTTTTGCCAATGATATGTACTAATCCCTACACCCCTTCTGTCCTCACTTTTACTAAAAAAACCCTGTGGTATTCACATACAGCCTGCCAGTTTTTAATCCAATCATCAAAAGGAGTGATTCTATGTTTGCAAATGGAAAATAATATGTATTTATGTCAGGTGAATCCCTTTGTTCTGGGAGAAGGATGGATGATGGAGTCAGAATACCAAGAAAAGCAGAATTTTGGGCTAGAATTTGAAGAGAAAGCAGCTTTGTTTTCATCTATGATGCTGCCACAAATAGTGAAAAGGTGATTAAAGAGACTGCAACTGCTGCTTCCCTTGCTGAGTGACATTCCTTTAGAAGTGTAGCAGGTGATTCTGATAGACCCAAGCAGAAATATGTAGGCCATTTCCCCCATGGCAGGCACACAAAGAAAAACACTGCAGCTTCCCATGCTCCGCTCCTTTTCCCCCTGCCTCATTCCAACCTGCTTCCTCAAATTCATTTTCTCTGCACAGACAAAGAGCTGGGGAAGGGAGGACCAGGCAAAGCACCCCTTGCTGGCTGGCAGGGGGAGGAAGAGGAAGGATGGGTGTCCACAAGAAAACAGAGGAACCTGGACTGATAGGAAGAGAGTTCTCCTTCAATCTCATTTATATTCCTCATTCTCTCGCCCACTGACTTTACCAGAGACATCCCCAGTTATCAACCCTCTGGTTTAGAGTCTAGAAAACCTGTCACTTTTATAACAAACTGATTTTTAAAAACCAAGCCCTGCACAGCAGCTGGGACCAGCTGATTCTGAACTCCCAGAGGGGTTACCCTCAGCTCCCTCCTGTGATCCTCCTCTGGACAGCACACGTCTCCAAAATTAGCAGAAATAGGGTGAAGTAGCAGCACAAAGAAAACAAGTCCAAGGTATTTCCTCCCTCCAGCACCTCCCTTGGCACAAGCACCCCTCTCTCCATGGGCTTTGGGGATCTCCCATGGAAGGAGTTCCCAATCCTTCCTCAGGTTCCTTTGTGTCCCCATTCCTCCTCACTCCTCTGCCATCCCTCCCCACACACAGCTGGTATTTAATCACCCCATTGCCAGGGTTATTCCTGCTCTTTCCAGCCTCTGCTCTTCATCCCTGACCCGACTTCCTTGTGATGGGATGAGCTGCAGTGGCCAAAACTCCCAGACCTGGCTGGGCTCAGTTCCCCAGTGCAAAACGCTGGTGCCCAGCTCCACTGAGCCACAGATGCTGTGGCACAACTTGCTCACACGTACCTAAATCTCTGAGTACAATGATCCTAAAAACAATTCTCTTCCAGATAAACAACCACAGGAACAAAGGAGACAGAAAAAGCACTGTGGTTTGAGCAAGACTATTTTTCTGAGAAAGTCAAGTGTCCATACTTGTGTACTCACAGCTATAAAAACCCTTTTGCCCTCCCCATCTATATCCAGGCTTTTTCCCTTTGCAGTTCCTCCAGACAGGCTTCAAAATTTCAGATTTTTTCTTCCTTAAGTAGCAGCAGAAGCTGCTTCATCTCAAGAAGCACCTTGGTGCCCCTGCTCCTCACACATGGTGTCCTCTTGCCTTGAGGTTTCACTTTTGGCACTGGCACCCCATTAATTTGTGCACTACATATTCTCTTTTCTTTACTCTTCCCTCCCCAAGTGCAGCAGCAGCAGGTTCCTTCTCTGAGGAGAAGAGCTGTGACTTCAGGGGGAAGTTCTGACAGCCCTGATGGGGAACATTTCCCTCACCTTCCCCAGGCCCTGACCACACCACACGTGTTTGTAAAACCCCCAGCAGTATGGGCCCTGATTGCCTTTTTTGTTTGTTTTCTAGAAGGAAATTTGTTTTACTGCACTTGGTATTTACTTCCAGAAAGAGAAGGTTACTTGAGGTTACTCAGTAGTATGTAAGTAATACAAATATTTAACATTTTCACAAGAAAATCAGAATTAACTATGAGGCAGCCCCACAGTGAAAGTTGCCTTGATCTCACTGTAAGATTTAGGACCTCACCATTTCCCATATGTCTCACAGCGTACTGCAGTGAAAAGGCTCTTATTTTTGGCAAGGAAAACTTATCTTGTCAATGGCCACACAGACAGTTTGTGTGCTTGGCTTAAAACCTCACCACAAGAAAAATTTTCAAGTCAAAAACATGTTCCTTTAGACAGCCATTAGCACTCAGCTGTTCAGAATTAAATGATCTTCTTGGTTACCAGAGCCAATTCCTTCATTTCTTGAGGGGGTTTCTCCACCTTCTTCTGCTCTCCTTCTTTACCTAAACAATTTACCAAGTGACCTGAGCAAATTAAGGGGAGATGACAAATGCAATGTCTAACCCAGGCACAGACAATTGTGGATTTTTAGGAGCCAGTATGAAACTGAATCTGCCTGTAAATCCAGTGAAAACCTCAGACCAGTTTTCCAAATGATGATAAACACCATGGTGAAGGCAGGGTGAGGGGTGGACTCAGGGCAGGAGAGTTTCCATGTCAGCAACAGAAACAAAGCAGAACTTGATGGAACATCTGAATTTATCCACTCCTTTGAGACCAACACATTCAAATTCAAATAGGTGGAAAAAATGGGGAGTGAGGGAATAAAATGGACAAGCAGGGAGTACAAGGAGACAGGACAGGAAGAATTTTCAATCCACCTAATAGGTTCAAATGAACATCAAACTGTGCAAAGACAGGAAGCAGTGCTTGTATTTCAGAAAGAGGAATATAAACCAATACCAGAACTAGAATTGCTAGTCTGGCCTCACTGTCATGCAAGCCTTTCCAAACCATCTGAGACACAGCACAGCTGAAGACACAGAGACAGAAAACCCGGGGAGAGGTTTGCCAGTTTGTGCTGCGGTAGCTTGGAGAGCAATTCACTCGCACAGCCAGCTCCCATGTCGGGGTGCTAAGGCTTCCCTGGTCCCTGTGCCAAGCTGGCAGACCTGGCACAAGCCTACAGGAGGCCCAGACACATCTGCAGCAGCAGCTGGAAAGAAGACAGGCAGTGCCAAACCCAGGATCACCTCCAGGGAGGCAAACAAATCCCCACCCGGATGTGTTCCCCTGACAAGGCACACAGCTCTGAACAATGTCAGATCATAATGTTGTCTTGTTTCCTTCTGTAGACTCGTTCCACTAACAATTCAGATTGTACTCCATCATTCCCCCGTTCAGGGGGACTGGCATGTTTGAAAGGGAGAGGACAGTACAGCCAGCAGGGAGGTGAAAGCTGTAAAGAGATTACCAAAGATTCTCTCAGGCATCAGACCTATCGCACAATTAAAAATCCAAAATACCTCAGGTGAAACCTGAAAGAAAATGTGATGCTCAGGAAAGCAGGCTGGGAAGCAGCAACCCAAAGGAAGATTAGTTCATCACACAGGAAAGCTGAAAGACCTTGAAATGCAGGAGAGGAATGCAATACAAAATACGGAGTCTGTGTGTGTGTAAGAATTAACAACTACTGCTCACACAAAGGACAGCTTATCACCAGGAGAGCACCACAGGGAGAGAGACCTTGATGCAACAAGGCACTCACAGCATGAAGCAGCCACAGGAGAGGCAGACTGAAGCCCAAAACCCCTCAAGAAAGTACTTCCAGAGACAAAAAGAAGCTGCCTTCTTGCACTGTGAGACCTCACCTGTAGGGCTGTGTGGCCCTTCAGCCATCAAGTTCAAAAACATGGATTTAATTGGAGCTGCTGCTGGGAATGGGTGCATAGGAGAGACTTGGGAGCCAGGACAGCTTTGTAAAAGGAGATTTAAGGAGCAACTTATGCAGGCAAGCTAAACAAAAGCTAGAAGGAAATATAATCCCTTCATAATACATTTACTGACAGCAAGCACCACGGAAGAAGAGTAAACACATTAAGGAGAAGGGATTATATTAGTGCAAAAACTAAGAAAAGCCAAGGAAAAAAAATCTCCCCAGGCCATAATTCCACCTTGACTTGTAAAAAAACCCCAGACATTAAAGCAACAAAGATCTGGGATGGCTTTTGAAGCAAAATGAGGAGTTAAAAGACAACAGGAACTGTGTGTCATGGTCAGGGTAGTTCACCCCACCAAAAAGAATCAGAAATAAACCCATGAATGTAACCAGGAATGGAGCCAGTTAGGCGTGCAGCAGTGACATTAAAGGAATGGCACTCTGAAGGAGTTTTACCCCTTTCCATTTGAGCATGAAACAGAAAAAAAAGGGAGACTTCTGTCACAGCCTGCTCCATCCAAACTCTCTGTGCCAGGTCCCCAGCAAGAGAATCCTCTTTTTTGCTGCCTTTTTTGTTGCTGTTTCTGTTGTCAAGTTCAAGTCCTCTGGAAATAGACTGCACTAATGGAAAGGCTGGCAGAAAAAGCCAAGACTGAGAATATTTCTAGCATTTACTTTATTAAAACAAAACAACCAATACCACATGATGAAAACAGGCCACTTCATTCTATATATTTAGGCTCTGGCCCAAAACTGGAAGGAAGGGAACACATAAATAGGGGCTTTATCAAGGGGCAGTGTGGTGTAGCCTTCAGCCACAGAGCAGCTCTGTTCCTATCACCACAGCTTGGGCCAAGCTGAGAAGCAGCAGCATTCCAGCCGTGTCTGCAGCCCTGCACTGTGCAGCACACACCAATTTCTGTCAGAACTAGGAGTTTGGGAAAGCTGCAGAGAGAGATTTCTATTTCACATGCAAACATTAAGAGTTTGAAGAGAACAAGATAAAGAAAACTCCCCCCAAAAAACCAAACACCCTTGGTATTACCTCAGGAAATGTAAGACACAATTATCATATAGGAGAAATCCTGAAGTGTTTAGAGAAAGGGATGTATTTAAAGAAGAAGGAAAAGTAGCTACCAGACTGCCATTCTAAGGTTATTATAGCCTGTAATTCAAATAAATATTCAGGTTGTACCTTAACTGAAGGAGTAGGAATGATTCAGAGAACTTTTTCCAGCAGCTGTGCACAAGACTATTGAAATGGGTTTTGGCACAGTTCAGAAGGACTCAGTGTATGAAAGCAAACCTGTTTTATTACAACAATTTTTAGAATGTGCTTCTATTGGTCTAAGCTGTTTTGAAACCACGTCAGACTTCTGTCTGCAGTGTAACACCACGATTAAGATGCTGGAATGGCTCAACCCAGCCCTGCCTGTCCCTTCCAGCAACATTTTAGACACTGCACTGCAAGACACCAGCTTTCTGTGCTGTTATTTGTCAGCTTTTACTTGAAGCAGCTCTCCCTTGGGTTCTGGCTTCACATATGACACAGCACATCCCTCTCAGACCTAGCATTGCCCTCTCCTTACTATTTCCCATCATGGCATCTTCCAGAGGCACTGGATAACACTTGTGCCAGCCCTACCAAGCCCAGTCTCTCCAGCCTCACTGCTGGGGCAAGGGATCACTGGCACTGCAATAAGTTTTGTATAAGAAGGGGAGAAAATAAGTACACAAACAGCTTTACATGTTAACAATCCCCAGCTGCCACCAGTCAGGGTGTGCCTCTAAGTTGTGTATCAGGCAGATAAGCATGCATAGTTTTCAAAGGAATCATAGGAGAGCTGCTTAGCATCTAAATCAGACGAGCAACGCAAAATAACAAAGCAAAACTAAAAGAAAAGCATTAGGCTAATTTGATGCCTAATGTAACCAGTAGTTACAGTCACTAGGACAAAAATGCAGGAGCTATCATTGTTAATAAACATATATAGATTTATTTTTTCCCCCTTTTTAATGCATTTTTACTGTTCTGAGAGCCACGTTCTGCCTTATTTTAATTTCACAGGCACTGAACCACCTCCCAGTATTTGCAGTGGGACAGGAGGACAGAAATCACTTGCTCCTCATTGAATACAGGGTCCAGCAGAGTCAAGACTTCACCCTCAGGACTCTGCACCTGTTCCACAGATCCTTACTCAGCTCCCACTTAGGAAGCAAACCTGTCATCAGCCACACAAACAGCAAGAGGCAGACAAAGATGCTTGCCCACCCCAGGAGAGAAGTTTCTCTCTTCTCAATGAAGTTCCTACTCCACACTTTAGCAATAGGATGGGGAACCATCATCAGGACTGTGGAGGTGGGGGAAAGGGCTGCTCCATGAGCTCATTGAGGGTGTAGCTATAAACCTGGCATAACCCTGGTTATTGTGCATCTGGTGGAAGCCCTGGAGCACATTCTGCTCACAACATGCAAAAGAAGTGAATCAATGCAGGGAGTTTGCATAGGTTCTTTAGAGAGGCAGCCTCTTACCCACCTCGACAATCACAGGTCAAGGGTACAGATCTATTGACAAATAAAACTTCCACTGACACTAATAAAACATTTCCTGACCCAAAGTACATTGAAAGGCAACAAATCCAAAGTTTACCTTCTCTTCAGCTGACTTTACAACACTGGTAACTTCTTTAATTGCTAGCTCAAGTGGTTCTGCTGGGTCGTCTTCCTCAAACGTGAGCAACTGGGAATCCTAAGAAACAAGAAAAAAAAAGGAAGTATTGTTAGGTGATGAACCCATCACTTGAAAACAAGGGATAAAAACGCACTGCCAGTCAAGTTCCTGGAATTGCAAACGTCTGTCAAAACTTCCACATATTAATTGCATGAAACCTCACTCCATAATACAGGGTAGAGCCTGAAAACATATACTTAGGACATAACTATGGACCTAATCATAACCCATCTTTCCCTGTAGTAGAATATCAAGGTACACAGTGCAGAGCCAAGTCCATGAACAGCAACAGGGTTCAGCGAAACTGCTGTTCTTCAGCAAAGATTTATCAGTGCTGTAGTTCGAAAAGGCATGTTTGGTTTGGCCCTCTAATACGGCTGCAGTAGGCTATGCCAAAACTAAGAAACCCCAAATATCATCTTGCAGAGGTGAGGAAAGAAGCCTTCCCCTGCCCAGCCCTCCTCATCAGTGAAGGCAGACAGTGATGACAGCCACTCAGTCTTCACACAGACAGCAGGGCGAAGGCAGCCTTTGGCCACTGAGGTCATCCCTTCAGAAGCATCAGCACCGCATTCTTCACCTGCTGCCCACACCGAGCACTCAGCCCCGCTTCCCTCATCACCCGGGGTTGTTTTGCACGCAGGAATTTCATTAGCTTCATGCTGCTGACGCTGTTTTGGGATCCTGACAGCGGGAGCAACGCCACGCTGCAGTTCCAGGCGCTGAACAACTGGCTGCAGCTGCTCACCTGGGCAGGGAGGGTGTCGTGTCCCCTCTGCTTGGGGACAGGAGCTGCCACTTGTGTCTGGTCACTCTCAGCTCCCAGCACCTGTGCTCAAGCTGTCTGCACCCTTCTTTCCCACAAGTGCAGGGCAAACCAAGCTCCATTTCTTAGCACAACCCACTCTTTTCTCAACCACACCGTGAAATTTGAAAGGGCAGACGAAATCTTTTATTTTTGCTGCCCAACTTATAATATTTGGGAAGCGCTCATTTTTATTTCTTATCTTTCACACGCACATGTTGCCCCACTCCTCCTTCTTCCCCAGCCTGCTCCCTGACACGTAGGGAAGAACCTCTTTGGTCTAAGACACACGCAAATTCAGAGACCTGAGGACATGCCACTTCCTAGAGTTTATCCTCAGCATTTTGCACTGACACGACAAGGGTTCAGTCCTCAGGACAAGGAAATCAGCTTGCCACAGGCTCACCTAACCTCCTCACCTCACCGGGCATACCATTACACCCCAGAGCCAGGATGCCACACTGCGCCTTTTTCAGGAAGGGCAGGTTGGGATGGACAGAAATAGCAGGTTTTGTGCATCCTCCCTGAGCCGGGTTACGGGCGAGCTGACCAAACCCGAGGATGCCATGCACCATGCAGCGGGCTCCAGAGTACAGCACACACACGCGGGCTCGCCGGGGCCTGAGGCGTGACGGGGGAAGCCCAGCTCTGGGAATTATTTGCCGAAGGACGGGCCGCAGGCCCAGGCCAGGAAGTTTCCATTGTTTCCTCGTCCCTGCGCCCGGACAATGTTATCGGCGGAGCGAACCCCTGCCAGGGGCTGAGGGGGTCGGCGCTTTCCTTCCTCCCCATCCTTCCCCGCTCCCTCTCCGCGCCTCTGGCCAGCTCCCTCCCGCGATCCCAGCCAAGCAGCCGCCGAACACGCGCGTGTAAATATCCAAACACACGCACGGAGGCTCAGGAACACACCCGCTACATCCCTGCAGCAAGTCCCGGCGTCCCCACAGCCGCTCCTCGCAGCGGGAAGCGCCCGGAGCCGCGTCCCGGCGCGATGCCCCACGGCCGGGAGGCGCCGGCCCCATCCCGGCGGGCGCGGGG